TCATTACCACAGCCAGTAAAGAAGAAACAAAATAAAATTGCATTATCTTCTGTAACTAGAGTGACAAGGCGCTGCAGGCTAGGGTCAACATCAGGCAATGGAGGAATGATGGGCACTGTGCATAGATTGCCATTTCTCAGAGCTGTGTTAGAAGACCACGTGCCAAGCACGAAACCGCAGCTGTGGGTGCACACAGAATAGGAGCTCCTGCTCCTGCTATCCTCTGTTTTCTTCTCATGGGGCTGAGGTGAGTAAACTATTTTGATTGTAAGAGATTGAATCATAATCCCCGAATACAGGAAGCTAATGGAAAAGTGGAATAACTAGTGTGGTTCTAAGACAAGAGATTTGCGGCCAGAGACACACTAAGAAAATAGGAAACTTAGGCTCACGAATCTGGCGGTAAACAAGGAAAGACACCTCCCCGAGAGGACCCCCGGCCGGCAGAGGTGCACAGGAGCAAAGCGTATCAATAACACCACTAATTATTATGTTGAAAACTGCTCTTCCCACTAGAAGAATCTCACAGAAGCAGACTGAGATAGTGAAGAGAAGGGGAGCAATGTTACCAAACAAAGCGTGTTCTACAATTCCAGCCAACTGAAGACTCGGTCCACATCGCATAGACAGATGCCTGCAAGATTTCTCCCAAAACGAAGTTCACGGAGGGACCCAGGCAAACTCCCCGCCATGGATTACATAATTGTTTAAGTGTTTGACGGCTCTTTTCCTGTTACAATAGGCTATAATACTTGTAAGATTTCAAAAGAACACAAAAACTGGAGAAACAAAATAAGACAGCAAGAGGGAAATTTTGGTGCACTGAGTTGCCTGACATGAAGTTACCAGCACTGTCTCATAAATAGTTCACTCTGGTCTGAGGATTCTAGAAAATTCCACAGATTTAGAAATAGTTAAATCCTTACAGTGGTGCTATTTTCACTGTACTATTGGATGACACTTTGAGTAAAAGCTTTTTTCACAAGTATATTTCAGACAAAATAGCATGTGATCTCCTGATCATGTCCAGAATCAAGGGATTGGTTATGTTTTCTGGGGGAAAAATAGCAAATTTCCAAGTAATGAATTTTATGGCTTTATTAATGAGGGATTTAGATGTATTGAAATCGGACACTCATTCATTCACTGACAGTATGGAGAAGTGTTCAAACAGGAAACCCAAGATCATATCGAACAACAGCCTCAAAAGCCTTCACTCTTGTTAGGTATCTGGGGTTTTCTAACTATATAAATAATATTTTCAATTATATCTTCTGTTATTTATATTTCTGATTTGCTGAGAATTACCAGGGCTTTTTTTTTTTAACATATGATACAGTTTCTCTTTTTAGAGATGTCCATAATCCTAAAATTCAAGCATACAATGTCCATAATTCTAAAAGATATCCCTGGAATCTTGATGATAAGAATGCAATGCTATTTTTTTTTTGGGTCCGGTCATGGGGCCTGAACTCTGGGTCTGGGCACTGTCCCTCAGCTCTTCAGCTCAAGGCTAATGCTCTACCACTTGAGTCACAGTGCCACTTCCGGCTTTTTTCTTTTTTCTTATATGGTGTTGAGGAATCGAACCCAGGGCCTCAGGCATGCAAGGCAAGCGCTCTACCACTGAGCCACCTTTCCAGCCCATGTAATGCTATTTTTAAGCTCCAGAGAATATTTTGTCTCAGACTTAAAATAATAACTTAAAGAAGTAAAAGCAATGGTCAATTTTAATTATATTTAAAAATGGTATTAAGATGATTATGTTATTCTAATAAAAATTCAAAGTAAACACAGGCAACATTTAACTTTTGCCAGTGATCTTAAGTGAGGTGTTTGAGATACAGGCTGTAACCCACACATCATCATCTACCTCTTTAATTTTTCAATGTATTCTTGATGAAACAGATGAAAATGGTAACACTGTACCAAAAAGTGTTCATGAGTAACTCAGAAAGTGCTGATTAATGGGCCAGAACTGACATCTAACTGTAAAATGATTCACGTCTTTAAAACACACTATGTCCACTCTTCAGGGACTGAAGACTGCATGCAGGTGTATTTCTAAAAAGGGTCTAACTTTCTGTCAGTGCTAGTGTCTGAACCTGAGGTCTTCCACTTGCTAGAGAAGTCCTCTACTGCGTGAGTCAGGCCACCAGTGCCTTTTGCTGTTGGGTCAGTTTTCAGGCAAGCTCCTGTGCTGGTCCAGGCCCAGGTGATAGCTCCAGCTTCCCTCCTATCCTCCCCAACCAGCTGGGATGGCAGGTGCGTGCCCACACACCCCGCTCCTCGGAAATTGGATCTCACTCCAGAGTTGCTGGGATGATAGCACAGAGTAAACTCTAATATGGGCATATGTCAAGATCCTTATAAAAGAGTTTCTTATTATATTTAACTGCAAGTTAGGGATAGAAGTTGGAAGTTATACAAGTAGAGATGATGGTCTAATTAATATTTTAACTGTATCACCATTTCTGCATCATTACTGTATAAATTACAGTGATAGCTTCATTAGGCTGTTTTAGAGTTTTGCAAAATTAGCTGAATATACAGCTACTTTTCCTAACATCAAAATGTACATTATGTTCATGATAAAACTAAATGCACGTTTAGCAAAAGTAGAAGAGCAACCTCAATAATTATTTAAACATTCTGATTAAAAGCAAGTAATTGGTGTCAATTTTTAGCTTCTTTAATTACATAAGGGATGTGCTTTTCAATTTAGAAGATGAGAATATTTCCATTCCTGATGATAAATGACACAATATTAAAAAAAAAATCACTTGTATGAACGAGAGGGAAAAAATGGTCCAAGAGGCTGGCTTCTGGTTTGTACTATTAAATAACAAAATTCATTACTCCTATGAAATCAGGTCAAAGAAGTAATCCTAACAATAATTGCATGGATATGAAGTGACATGAAACACAATTAAACATGTACGAAGAGCTACCGTTAACTTAAGTACAAACTAGTCTGTTGCTGCTTACTTGTCATGCATGTTTTAACATCAATCTAAAGCGGTAAGCAGTGTGTACTAGTGACAATGAATAATAATAATAATAATAAAGATGCCATTACTAAAAGGTAGATTTCTCACCATGTCCTGACAGCATACAAATGAGTCTGCACAGGTCTGATATGACAGGGAGGAGTTCTTGGGTTGCTAGCACCATGCATCTGTGCTGCCAGGTTCCATAATCCTGAAATCAGGATTCTACATAACGAGTCTGGGTTCTCAACACATAGAAGAATTTTCACTAAGAGGGAGGCAGGATGATCATCTGGTCTTATCAACAACTACTGTTCCCGTGACTCTCGACAAAAAGGAAAGCTCATCCATGGGTAAAAAGATATTTAGAATTACAGTTCTACATTGAAGTATAAATCATCAAAACAGCAGCTCACTGAGGGCGTAAGAGACCAACTGATTCTCCATTGTATTTGAAGTCCATTTCCCTGACTAAATGTGCAGAAAGCAAGTGCTTCTGTTATTTGAAAACGTAATTTTCAATCCCTCTCAACACCTTCTTACTTTCTGCCTTCAGATTGTTGCTGATGCATTCCTACAACACAATCAAAATCTTAAAAGTGAGATAGCACTTCATTAAGCTACTAAAATTTGGGAAAGGTTTATTTTTGATAACAAATGACAGAAGTTCAGACACCAATTTAAGAGAGAAAGACGCTGTTCCTAGCCTCACTGACAAGGCTTTGGTTTGAGGCCGCTGGGGCTGCCCAGTGGGTGTGGATATCTGCAGACTTCAAGGCCCACCTTACCTCCCAGTCACGGGTTTGTGCTCCCATTGCCAACCCTAACTTCAACCCGGCTGAGCCAAGATCAGTAATATACAGGAAGGCAAAATCACTTGGTTCAAGTGCAAAGGTGCTGTACTATGCCATGAAAATAGTGTGCGTAAATTATTTGACAAAGCTCAACAGGTTCTTTGATAAAATACCCTGTGACCGCTGTGGCCTGCCCGGTTTAGCGACTGTGGACGCACCTGTCTATTCCCACCACCAGGCTGGAGGCGAGGTTCAGCCGGGAACCCATACGCCTTCACCCCCTCCTTCTCATCACCGCGCCTCACCGCCAGTTCCGCCCTGGCCTGTTCTCTCCTTAAAGACTGTCTAGACAAACCTTTCCTTGCTGTTCTATTAGTCACAAAAGAAATGATACATCTGCAACCTGTCGTTTCCAGCTGGTGGCCCGGCATTTGTTTTTCACATGAAGGGGTACACCATGGAGGAGGAAAGAGGCATCTTGGAGCCAGGAGCCTTGACGTCTTCAAGGGTTATTTATGTGGTTAGACCAGGGCGTGGAGTTATCTGACATACCCATCTGCTAACTGAGCAGATTCTTTGGTGGGAGAGAACGAATGGGAGGATTTCTTTACCGAGAACTTCAAAGGAAGTCTACCCCGACCCTGGAAGTACTCTACTACCCCGACCCTGGAAGTACTCTAGCCCTCCACAGCGGTGGTCTACAATGCTCCTCCTCCAGAGCGGGGTCCCACAACTGCCAGAGCCAGAGCACATCGGCTCGAGTAACCGAAGAAGACAGCTGCTCGGCCTCCACCGGCGTTCCTCCACTCTGCTGCGCCTCGCACCCACCCCTTGGGTGGGGAGCTCCTCACTGCTGTCTGGACCAGCCCAGAGTGTCTGACAACTCTGGGGCACCACGGCCTTTAGACCAGAATGCTAGCTAGCGTCTGTCAGGCAAATGAGATCTCTGGGGATGCAGGGTCTCCTATCTGAAATCAGCCCTTGGAAACGCACGGCGATGCTAAGCAGGGGTGCCACACCTCGGGACATGTGTGGCACGTGTGGACAGGTGTTGGCCCTAATCATGCAGGAAAGGGCTTTCCTACTGGCCCGCCCAATCTCGAGCGCTGCCTGCACCCAAAGGTACCTTACCCGGTGTCTACAACCCACCTGGGATACCCCCCGCACCCAGCACGGCGACCACGCTGACAGCCAGGACTGCGGGGCTCACACTTACTCAGATAGGGTGGTTTGTAAGGCGCTCGTGTATTGGACAGCAGTCCGTCCAGCTCCTTCCTCTCCAGGGTGCTGTGCAGGGCTTTCTCCTTGCCGAAGGTGGAGAAAGACCGCTCGGCCCCAGGCTGGGCTTCCGGAGCTTCGAACACCTCGGTGTCGGGCACAGAGTCCATGCCCGGGACGTGCAGGTTGCTGCGGTAGTCCGCGGCCTGGCGTCCGTCCGAGGGGACGAAGGACGGCATCCAGCACCGGTCGGAGTGGCCCAGGGCCTTGCACTCCTCCGTGCAGTTGGAGAAGAGGTCCATGCCTGCGCGGAAAGCACAAGGACACACGCTGTGACACGCTGCGGTCTGGGCCGCCACGCGGTGGACGCACGCCGGAGGGCCTGCCGCCCTCAAGACGTGCTCCTGCCTGGAACCCCCGGGAGCCGAGCCCGCTGCTTTACTTCATCCTCTTCACCAGCTAAACACCCACAGAGCTGCCAGGCCGACCCGGGTTCTAAACCACCCAGGTACAGAGGGAAAAGGTTGGCTCCGACTATATATGCACCTATGTGTGTGTGAGGGAGGTGGGTGTTTATTTACTCGTTTATTTACTTATTTGCAGTGCATGGGCCTGAAACTGATGTCCAGGATATCTGCAGGATGAAATGATGATTCTCTAAAAGTCTTTTGTGAGGTTCATAGCCAAAAAAAAAAGGTCTCATAACCCACACTTCCCAACGTCATCTGGTGCTTCTGTTCTTAGACATCAAAGTGGAAGAACTATGCCAAGTGCTCCCGATGGCATGTCTGATATTTCTAGACTCTCACAGAAGCTAGAGCTGAAGGGGGACCTGCCATCCATCAGCAAGATGGCTAACACGTTGACTGGGAGGCGTTAAGAAGAACGGCGCACTGGCTGGTCAGCTGCGCGTGTGTTTTCTCAGCCCCCAGCAAGCTGGCTTTCTAACAGTAGTTCTTACTGGCTCTCTGGAGGTACCTATTATTACAAGTCATTTATTGTTTAACACCTTAGACAATGCCAGAACAAATGGCCTAATTAGAAACATCAAGGTAACCAAAAGCAATCTGAGGCAAGAGCAGATAATATTGACAAACAGCTTATTTCTCATTCTGCACTGTAAACAGTTAGCCCTCCCGGCCGGCACGGGCCTGCTCTCCGACCCCACAGTACCAAGACTTCAAAGGACAGCCTCACTTTTTATTGTGTTGCTTGGACAAACAGAAGTGTCCTGTGTCATCTGATAATGATTACAAAAGCTCTTCCGGTTTCTTAAGCAAGGAATTCAAAATTTTTAGTACTGCACAACACTGTTTTATTTTTTTATTATTATTTTATTTTTTTGCTGGTCCTGGGGCTTGAAGTCAGGGCTGGGGCGCTGTCCCTGAGCTTCTTTGTGCTCAAGGCTAGCACTCTACCACTGGAGCCACAGCAGCATTTCTGTTTGTTTTCTGAGTACTTTATTAGAGATAAGCATCTCACAGATTTTCCTGCCTAGGCTGGCTTCAAACTCCCATCCTCAGATCTCAGCCTTCCTACAGGCATGAGCTACTGCTGCCCAGGTATCTGATATTCATTTTGATATGTAGCACTACACAGAACACAAAAATGGCATCTCACTGTATTTCTAAACGTAACTTATTTATTCAACAGGCTTTAAAATAATATTGAATTAAAATCACTGACCTATACAGATAAACCATGAGATGCAAAATCAAGAAAAAATGTATATATCTAGCAAACCTACCTGCTTGTTACTTCTATAAATACCATGAACAATAAGAGCTCTCAAAGGAAATTATCTTCTAAACTCCCAACAATATTTCATGATGCATTGATTTATACGTATTTGTATGTGTTAATGTATTCACAAAATAATTTTCAAACTTATGTGATTTCTATGTTTATGATAAGAGGTTTTGATTTATAAACAACCAATTACATATATTATTTCTCAAAAAGTGGCACCAAGCCCCTTGTCTGTCTAGCTCATTATGTAATAACTTTTCTTTAATTTTAAGTTAAACTATGTACAATGCTGAGTCTGACTTTGATTATAATATTCCATTGATAATTGTCATGCCTAAGCCTAGAAATAAATTGCTAAGCAGTGAACTGTTGAAGAGCAGAAACGTGAGCTGAAGCTGGGATTAAGGAATCTAAGAGCAGCATGGCATGTATCAATGTTTTGAAAGACACCAAGAATGAAGCTCAGGCCTTAATCCTATCTCTGCAAAAAGGAGAGAGGGGGAGGGAGAGGGAGAGAGAGAGGGAGAGAGAGAAGAAAAAGGTAATGACAATGTCTCTGACACAGGTAGAGACCTGTTTATTTTACTTTGATAGAATAAACTATACATGAGCTATAAACTTTTGCTGTTGTACTGGTGCTGAAGCTTGAACTCAGGCCTGCGCACTGTCCCTTAGCCTTTTCACTCTATATTGGTGCTCTATCACTTGAGCCACACCTCCACTTCTTACTTTTTTGCTGGCTTATTGAAGATAGGAGTCTTATGGACTTTTCTGCCAAGGTTAGCTTCCAACTATGATCATCAGTCTCAGCCTCCTGGGTGAGCTACTAGCACCCAGCTAAGGGCTTTGTTATTATTTCTTTATAGAAGAAGCTATTCAGTACTTGAAGAGTGGGCAAAATTATTATTAGCAATTTCTTTACTTACAAAATAAACATAAGATAAGACACTTGAAGACCTGGTGGTATTTAAGACGATCCTTTTCTTGAGTCTTCAGAAGGCCGTGGTGCACAATTTGCAATTAATACAAGTTTTCTTCCCAGGACAGATGAATATCACATACCAAATAAAACCACACAAAGCCTTTAGCACACGCTTCCTCCGCCCACGTTCTCTTCTAATTCTGAATACTACAGTCTCCAACAGAAAGCTGTATTAAACTACAAAGAAGGTTCTGCTTTACCAGGTATCAGAAGGTTCTTTACATTTTATGCTCCTGTATGTGGAGTTTCCATTCAGTTGTATTTTTTTCTTTCAAGTATGTGCTTTTTAAAAATTCTGTCTCTCTCAATTAATTGCTAGAAATGAGTGAAAATTTCCTTAGGTCATGCAGAAAAGCTTGCATGACCTGAGATTCTGTACAAAGAGTGCATGTCACACATGTAAAACAAGTATTTGTGCATATGAAGATTTTTGCTGAAAGACAATATCTCGTGACAGAAGGGAAATGGCATCCACGAAGTGCATTTGATTACTTCATGGATTAATTCTTCACAATAGAATTCCCTTAGTGAAAATACACGCAGCTTCTTATAACTAGAATGAAAGTGAGGCCTGTGGAATCGTGCCTGCTATTTGAGTTTTATCGATCAAACTAGTAGATCTGCTTGCATGGGGAAAAATCAGACGTAGATATGAAAATGAAAAACATATCAATCAATAAGCTTCAAATAAGTAACAAGAAATGAGCTGGGTGATTTTTTTTCCATTGGTCATTCAGACAGACACTCTGAGGGCCAGATCATAGTGTTTGCCCACCCTGACTCTGGGGAGCTATCCCATGATGCCGTTCTTCCTTTTTTTAAATATGTTTATGATCTTTAAGTAGTTGTAGGAAGGAGTTGCCATTCAACAAGGTGGTGTGTGAATAAAGAGCACAATTCTTTTGTCTTTACTCTCATTCAATACACTATCCCTGTAATTATCAAATAGAGGCATGTTTAACTTCAGTTGTGTAAAAGGACCACAGTATACAGCATGTTGCTTTACCTTGAAATGTAAACACTCGTAACACTGACGTTGCTCTTAAAAATTCACTTGTGGTTCCCACACAATGCTGAACATTGAGTAAGTTAACTAGATTTTTCCCCCAATGCCCTTAGTACTGAAACTGTGCATTTTTTCAAGAGTCAAAAAATGTAGGCCAAACCTTCTTCGGAAGTTTTGGTACAATCTAAGAAACATCCCCACATGTGTTTGAAATCTCCTGCTGCAGTTACTTGTCTCTTTTTACAGTTCTCAGAAATAATCTATATTGCTGACAGCTGATGTGATGGGCGGTCTGGCTACACATACTTTATGACTTGTCCCTTATAGTGAGAAGTGGGGAGTTCTACTGAAAACAAATTGTGATCTGAACAGTACTAGAACTGTACTCAACGTGTGTTGGCTCCTGATGATACTGATAATACAAATCATGTGCATATTTCTTTCTCGTGTTACAAGCCTCCAGGAAAATACCAAGTGCCAGTTTTACAGGAAACAGCACTCCAGTTATTGAGACACTTTCTTGCCTTGCTTGTAAATTCTGAACATGGAAAACTAAACAATACTGATTATATCTAGGAAACGTCTCCTAGGGCCAGATTTTAATCAAAAACTTAAAATCCATCCAAATCTTATCATTACCTATCATCTATAAAACTTTATGGTTTTCTCCATTTTTCTCTTACGTATCTGCTCTGATTCTAAGTCTCCTCACATTATCAAACCGTAGCTGGGAGACTCAACAGAAACCAGAGGAAGGGTTTTGTGAACAACGGGTCCACGTTAATTTTATTAGAAAGCTAACTTTCCAGCCGCAATGCTGAGCAGGAGCACGGATGTCTGCGTGTGTCGTCCCAGGGTGACCCTGAGTGCCGAGTAATGCGGCTGATCACACTCAAGGCACGGGTTCTAAACTCTCAGCCGAGTTTGAACCACGCAGGAGACACATCTCCTCAGAATTCAGCAGCCAGCACCCCTGGGAGATGAGCTCCCTGCCCCGGAGGAGCTGGCTGTTTCCAGCGAGACCAAGGCCAGTCAGCCCCCTGCTATGATGACCCCTTTCAACACGTTTTAAAGGATCACGATCTTAAGAAAAAATAGATTCAAAACGAACTCTAATGTGGGCCTCCTACACCTGGGCAACGGCTCCCTGGCGCACTGCCTGCACAGAGGGACAGCCCAGGCCCGAATGGGAACCAGGCTCAAGGGGACGGAAAGGCTCCTGGACATCCCGGGCAGCTGCCTCCATGTCCAGAGCCGGCTTGAACAAGACTAGGGTCCGCAAGGGGCGTGGCCAGGTAGAAAGGGGAGGGGGAGAGGAGGAGCGCAAAACCAGGACTCTTCCTAAAGGAACCAGTGCAGGGAGCTCTGAGCAGATGATCACACAGCAAAGCTGACACGGGAGAGCCAATGTTGGGAACCTGAGACAGGCGCAAGGCCAAGCCACGCTGTTTAAGATGGGAAGAGTTAACACACCAGAAGAGGTCCTTCCGAACCGGCTCTCTAATACCAGTTTCACTGATAATTTAACTCTCCTGCCTGCGGTGGAAAGTGGGATTTGCTTACTTGGTCTTCTGTGCCAACCTTGAGATGCCTACGAATGAATGAATAATGCATCATTGTATGCACACTCTTGCCTAATTTTGAAACTTTAGAGAGTCATTAGTACCTGATGTTACCGAGCAGCACAACAGATTTATTGAAGCAAGTTCATCTGTCTCGAAATATCATAGCTACTTGTTATGAAGTTTATAACACACATCTCAAAGTACTACAAAAAGTTCCCAAATAAATGCATTTAGGACTTGAACTTAAATAAGGCAACACTGGCAATCGTCCTGACAATGGAATTAAGGGGATTAGACCTGAGGATGGTTCCCCCTCCCGGTGAGAGCTACACCGTCCCCCACACCAGTGACCACGGGCAGGGCACCACGTGTCTCCCTGTAGTGACTGAAATAAAGAAAGGCTCTGGTCCTTCTGCAGTGCTTTCCTGTGTCCAAGAACTGAAGAGAGAGGGAAAGAAAAAAGGAGAAACGTTTGCATAGAAAAATAAACTGCCCAGCCTTTTCCACGGCTTAGCAGAGCACAGTAACGTGCACTGGCATCTCAACTACCTTGAGAGCAACCTCGTCAAAATGGCTGCGTGGAGCCTGGGAAGTCAGATAGCCTTGAGCGGCAGAGGGGTGAGAACACATCCTCATTCCTCCTCTCTCCTCCTCTCCTCCGCGCTCCTCCACGCCAACGGGCATCCGCCCCCTCTCCTCGGGCAGTTTATTATGGCTCATTATGTCTCGGGGACTAAACTAATTGAAATGTTTATTGAGACTATAGTGCTACAGGAAAAAAAAAAATTCAAAGGCAGCAGGCAAGACCTAAAGGCGCCTAAAGAAACATGTCTCAGATAAGCTCCCTTTATATCAAGCATTCTGACTGAAAACTTTTTAAAAGACTGACAGTTACATTGGAGACTGAAAAAGAATCGACGCCATCCATTCTCAACGTACAGTTTTTAAAAGAGAACAATAAATCATCTACCGCAAATAGGGCAAAAAAAATGAAAGGGGCTTTGTGCCGCGGTGTAACGCGCTGGCTCGGCGCGGTTTGTTGTCGGGCTCTGAATAGACGCTCTCTGTTCAGTGGGCGCGGAGACGCACTAGGCCAGGGACCTCCGGGCACTCTTGGCAGCTCTCAAGTCTCATTAGGTCTGCATATTAATGACTCGGGGCGGTATAAAGGGAGCCTTGAGCTTGGCTCCCTGTCTCCTGCCTGGCTTCCCGAGGCTCAAGCAGCCATGGTGCAACCCCCCACTCCCGGGGGGGGGGGGGGTGAGAGGAAGGTGGATTCCACCTGCCAGGCCACCACCGTGGGGTGGGCACTGCCCTTCCCCACGACCCCTTAGCCCCCCCTCCCCCAGCACCGTGAGGAGGGCTGTGCGGCCTGCGAGTCGGAGCCCATCTCCTGTGGCAATCAACTCCACTCTCGGGTGAGCAGAGCACAGCCCGGACAGAGTGAGCCCACACACAGGCGCTGCCTTGGCACCTCCGCGTGCGCCCCACGCCCAGGAAACTCAGAAGCCAGGAGCCAAAGCCCAACCCTTCACAGGCGACACGCAACAAAGCCCAGGGGAACCCAGGCAAGTGGAATCGCTTTCACTTCAAGGACAGTGTTCGATTTCTTCTAAGTTGCCTTTTATAAAAGAACTTATACGAGCGAAGACCGAGCTCGGAGAAGAAAAATTAAATGAAAACTAAACAGAAACTGTTTGGCACACTGCAGCTCCTGTCATACTCACAGACATACGAGATCAACAGCTACTGACGGATCAACAGCCCCAAGGGAAATACGGAGAGATCTAGCGCTGTTCAAAAACACCTATTATATGAAAGGTTTATTAGGCCAGCAGTCCTGACGGCCTAGGGACGAAGGCCTGTCCGTAACGCCAACCACTAGGCCTCTCACATCACGCTCAATGCACAAAGCGCACTGCTCTGGAAAGCATCTCACTGGAGTTCTGGTTTCCGGCCCTCTATTTATCTCCCTGTGACCTTGCACAGGACAGTCAACCTCATTCGCCCCCTGTGCCTCATTGATAAATAAACCTAACAGGAACTCCCTTAGGTAGGTGAAGGCAGGAGACCTGACCAGGTGAGCAAGCCAAGACTACCTGTGGGCAAGGTCATTTCTCCCATCATCATCCCCAAAGCAAGATGCCCCTCACAGCTCTGTGAAGGACAGGTCCCCCCCTTCCCCCTCTTCTCTGACAGTCTAGATGGATGCCAGCTCTAGAACCTCCAGCCTTTAGGATGCAGAGAGCAGCCTGGAACCGGACCTTTCCCAGCCATCCCCGTTCAGAACTGGAAAGCCGGCGTGGGCGCGGCGTGGCCACCACTCACCAGCTGACTGGCCGCGGTTGGTGGCGTCGTGGTCACTGTCCCCCTGCTCGCTGTCCCCGTGGCCACTGTCCTTAGAGCTCACAATGTCTGCTTCCTGGAAGGCAGAACTGCAGGGAGGAGAAGACCACTGTTAGAAGAAAACGTGGAGACATTCTTCTGCCACCACATGGCCGCAGAGAAGCGCTGCAGAGGACGGCCTGCCAGGAGAGCCGAGTCCTGGGAAGGCCATCACTGACAGCCACTTTCAACTCAGCTCCTCAGACTGAGGATGATGCACTGACTCCAGCTTGCACACAAAGCAGACACGGAGCTGAGGTGGGAACGGTTACAAGAACTATCCGAAGCAACCGAGGGACTGCAGCCGCAGACACGCTGCCGTCTGCACAGGGATAAAACATTCTGTTTCCAACTGACTGTCCTGGAGCCTCGTGGCCTCCGCATTTGTGTCTGGTCTTATTTTAAAATACTCTGTCGTACATTTTCTCTTCCCTAACTCAAGATACTTCATGCACCTTATCTTTTAGCATGGAGAAGCATACCTGCTTCCTTCTGCTTTGGGGAGGTAGCAAACTGTCCACTCACTGAGCCAGGAGAGAAGGGAGGGTGCATACCTGTTAACCCGGCGTGGTCTGTCGACTAGATAGCTGAGCTCCGTCCGCTGGTGTTTCGTCTAGGAGAAAGAATAAATAAGTCAAGAGCATTTGGATGCTCACGGTGTGCCTGTGGAGAGAGGGACCAGATCAGTCCCGGCGGTGTGGGGTATTCTGGGCACTTCCCCAGGACCTCAGCCTAGGGCCCTGCTGATGAGGGGGAGTGAGGGGTGGGGACAGTGGAGACATGTGTAGCCCATGTTGTGTTTTCCAGGCAGTTGCCAAGACTGTTAAAGATGTTGGTCAAAATAAATGTCTCTGTGCACGTTTTAAAGGGAAAATGCAAAAGCCCTCATAGCTGAGATTCGTAGACTCCTGTCTAAAACAGAGTCAGCCCAGCATCCTCTTCTCCTCTCAAGTGACACAAGGCATGTTCAAGTGCATTCTGGTTAACCCAAGAAAAGCAGCATGCTCAATAAGCAAAAGGGTTGGCTGTTTCAAGGAAGTATTTTGATGTTTATTTTCCCAGGGTGCTTCTGATACAAATGAGCTGTACAAATACTGGGGAAATCAGTGAGTAACATGTGAGACTTGGACCCAGCCTGGCACTGCCAGTCCTGCCTCAAACCCACCTTCCCCTCTCCCCAGTCCCAACTTTTCTGGTTCAAACTTGGCTTGACCCACACAAACCCTTCCTCTCCATCCCCAGCCAGCCCGCCTCCCAGCTCTGCCTCTCCTCCATCTTAAGAGGAAGGAAAACATGGGCTTGATAAGCAAGCCCAGGTCCCTGGGGGAGAAGGCCCTGAGGGCAGCAGGCTATGGGGAGCTGGTGGCAGGGCCTGTGCCTGGTGACCAGGCTCTGGGCTCCGCTGGGGTCCGGGGGGGGGGGGGGGGGGGAAGAGCTGCTGCCAGGAGGGCTTCATTCAAATGCAGGCCTTGTGGGCTGGGGGCCTCCAGGGCCTGGAGAAAGGCTGTGCTGGGCGCAGCCAGCCGCGTTTGCAATCACGGGTTAGAGGAAAAGGGGGTCGGAGGCTCCGCCCGGCTCCCCGAGGCCTGCCTCCCCGCCGGCCCGCTGGGCTGCCTCCAGCCCCCTAGGGCTCCGGGACGCCCGGCCCTGGGAGCTGGGTAACCACGGCAACGGAAGAGAAGCAACTTCACCGGGGCCTGGGATGGAGGCCAGGGGAGAAGACCTCAGGTCCGCCTCCAGGCCGGCCCGCCCCCTCCGTCTCCCTCCTCCCTCCCCTCCGCCGCCCTCCGTCCCTCCTTCCCTCCCTCCAGCCTCTCCGAGAAGGCGGCGACTTGGCCGGGGAGGAGGATGGGCGCCGGCGGCCCCAGGGTGGCAAAGCGGCGGGGAGAGGGAGGGAAGGGAGCACCCGGGCGGGAGGAGGTGACCGCCCCCGCCCCGTGCGCGCGCACACGCACACACACGCGCGCGCACACACGCACACGCGCACCCAGGCCCCGCGCTAGGGCCGGGCGCCGCGGGCCGGGCGCGGCCGCCTTACCTCGGTGGACAGCAGGCCGCCGTTGGCCAGCAGGTCGGGCTGCGGGTCGGCGTAGCCCGCCACCAGGGCGCCGCAGGGCCCGCGCTCGGCGTCGGCGGCGCGCGCGGGGCTGCAGGGCTTGAGGAACAGGAGGTCGGTCTTGGCGGACTCGGGGGTCAGGCAGACCTGGTAGCAGTAGTTCTGCGCGTGCGGGTGGGCGCCGAAGGCCCCGGGCTCGTCGGCGGGCGCGGGCGGCGCGTGGCCCGGCGCGGAGGCGGCGGCGCTGGGCACCAGCATGATGTCCGCCTTGCTCAGCTTCTTGGTGCGCGCCCGGGCCTGGCGGCCGCAGCAGGCGCAGCAGGCGGCGCCGCCGTCGGCGGCCAGGCAGGAGCGCACGCTGAGCTTCTTGTCCTTGCGGCAGCGCACGGCCAGCACGATCATGGCCAGCAGGAAGACGAAGGACACGGAGCCCAGCGCGATGATGAGGATGAGCGTGAGGTCCAGCGCGCCGTCCGCGCCCCCCGCGGCCCCCGCGCCGCCGCCGCCGCCCGCGCGCCCCGGCCGCGGCGCCTCCCCGCCGCCCGCGCCGCCCGCCACGTCGGGCGCCACGTCCACCAGCCGCACCTCGAGCGCGGCGGTGGACGACAGCGGCGGCTGCCCGTGGTCGCGCACCTCCACCACCAGCTCGAAGGGCCGCTGCGGGTCGCGCTGGGCCGGCACGCGGCGCGCCGTGCGCAGCTCCCCCGTGCGCCAGTCCAGGCGGAACAGGTTGAGCTCGTTGCCCCGCAGCAGGCTGTAGGTGAGGCGCGCGTTGTCGCCGTCGTCCGCGTCCACCGCGGCCACGCGCGTCACCAGGTAGCCCGGCTCGGCGGCGCGCGGCAGCGCCTCGCGCGCCGGCGTCCCGTTGCGGCCCGGCAGCGGCGCCACGATGGCGGGCGCGTTGTCGTTCTGGTCCACCACCAGGATGCGCACCGTGGCGTTGCCCGCCAGCGCCTGCGGGCTGCCCGCGTCGCGCGCCTCCACCTGGAAGCTGAAGGCCTTGAGCTGCTCGTAGTCGAAGGAGCGCAGCGCGTACAGGTAGCCGTTCTCGGCGTTCACCGACACGTAGGTGGCCACGCTCATGCCCTGGATCTGGCTCTCCAGGATGGCGTAGGCCAGGCGCGCGTTGGCGCCCTCGTCGCGGTCCGTGGCGCTCACGGCGTAGATGTAGGCGCCGGGCACGTTGTTCTCCGTCACGTGCACGTCGTAGAGCGGCTGGCTGAAGCGCGGCGCGTTGTCGTTCACGTCGGCCACGCGCACGCGGATGGAGCGGCTGGTGGCCAGCGCGGGCGCGCCGCCGTCGCGCGCCACCACGGTGAGCGTGTAGGCGTCGCCCGCCTCGCGGTCGAGCGGCGCGGCGGTCACCAGCGTGTAGTAGTTCTGGAAGGACGGCTTGAGCAGGAAGGGCGCGTCGCCCAGCAGCTCGCAGCGCACGCGCCCGTTCTCGTCCGCGTCGCGGTCGGCCACGCTGAACAGGGCCACCACGGTGCCCGGCGCCGCGCCCTCGCTCACCGCCTCCTTCACCGTGCTGAAGCTGATCTCGGGCGCGTTGTCGTTGGCGTCCAGCACGCGCACCAGCACCTTGCAGTGCGCGGGCACGGCGTTGGGGCCCAGGTCCTTGGCCTGCACGTACACCTGCTGCAGCGGGCTCTCCTCGTAGTCCAGCTCCCCGCTCACCTCCAGCCGCCCGGTGCGCGGCGACAGCCCGAAGAGCTCGCGCGCGCGGGCCGACGCGTGGCTGCTGAAGGCGTACACCACCTCGCCATTGGCGCCCTCGTCGGGGTCGCTGGCGTTCAGCTGCAGCACCAGCGTGCCGGGCGGCGAGTTCTCGGGCAGCGACACGGTGTACACGGGCTGGTCGAAGGCGGGCACGTTATCGTTGGAGTCGAGCACGCGGATGGTGAGCAGGGCCGTGCCGGTGCGCTGTGGCTGCGGCGGCGGCGACTGGAGGCCGGGGCCGTCCCCGCCTTCGCCCGTGCCCGCGCCTTCCCCGCCGGCCCCGCCGCCGCCGCCGCCCCCGTCCCCGCCGCCGCCGCCCCCGTCCACCGCGGTCAGCACGTAGCGGTGCACCGCCTGCTGCTCGCGGTCCAGCGGCTTCTCCAGCACCAGCTCGGCGAAGCGGCCGCCGTCGCCCTGCGTCTGCACGTCCAGCGAGAAGAAGCTGTTGGGCGTGATCTGGTAGTCGCTCAGCGCGTTGGTGCCCACGTCCGGGTCGAAGGCGCTCTCCAGCGGGAAGCGCGTGCCCGGCGTGGCGCTCTCCGAGATCTCCAGCGTGAGGTCGGGCTCGGGGAAGGCGGGCGGGTTGTCGTTGATGTCCAGCACCTCGATCTCCACGCGGAACAGCTCGAGCGGGTTCTCCAGGAAGACCTCCAGGTGCAGCACGCACGCCGGGCTCTGGCGGCAGATCTGCTCGCGGTCGATTTTCTCGTTCACGAACAGCACGCCCGTCTCCAGGTTCACGTCCAAGTACGGGCTCCGCGAGTTGGGCACCGTCTGGAAGCGGCGGGCCGAAAGTTTGGTGACGTCCAGGCCCAGGTCCTCGGCGATGTTGCCCACGAACGCGCCATGCTCCTGCTCCTCCTGCACGGTGTAGTGGAGCTGGGCCGCCGCCGCGTCCGCCATCCACGCCAGGGCGAGCAGGACGCGCAGGAGCATCTCCGAGGCCGGGCCGAGCAGCGCCGCCGCCGGGGGAGGGCAGGGACGGCGGCGAGCGCCCAGCCGCGCGCGGGAGCTAGGGCTGCTGCGGGCGGGCGCCGCGGCGCGCCGGGCCCCGGAGCGGGCAATCCCCGCCGCCGCCGCCGCTGCCGCTGCCGCCGCCGCCGCCGCCGCGAGCCCGCGCCGCCCGCCGCAGCGCCTCGCCGAGCCTCCCGCCCTCCCCGGGCGCTCAGCGGAACCGCGGCGCCCGCATCGTCCTGGGCCCCGCGCTCGGTCCCGGTTCCCCGCGGACGCGCTCTCGGGGGCTGTGCGCGCTCCCCGGCTGGCCGAGCCGCGGCCGGGGGGAGGTCGGGGCCGTGGAGGAGGAGGAAGAAAAAGAAGAAGAGGAGGAGGACGACGACGAGGCGGCGGCGGAGACGGAGACGAGGCTGCCACCGCCGACCATGCCGCCCAAGGCCAACGGCGGGCACCGGCGGGAGGCTGGGAAACCGGGAGCGAACCGGGCCGGAACCCCGGGCCGGCTCTGCCGCATCAAACTTTCATCCTCCTCCGCGCTCCGGGCGCCGGCGCGCGCGCGCCCCGCGCCCCCCGGGGCATCCCGGGCTCCGCTCTTGCTCCCGGCGTTGCAGGACCGGCTGCCCCGCGGTGTCCCCGGCCTCGCGGCGAGCGTGGAGAGCGTCCGGTGTCCCGAGGCCGCTCCGGCGCCCGCGCCCGCCCCTCGCCGCCCGCTGCCCGCCCGCAGCCGGATCGCGGCCGGCGGTGTCTGAGCTCCGAGCGCTCCGCTCCGCTGTTTTTGCGCAGCGGCCCCGTCCTGCCAACCAATGCGCGCCGAGCTCCGCCCCCCGCGCCGCCGCCGGTTGGCCGTTCCGGCCGCCGCTCGCGCGCGTCACCCGCGGCCGGGCGGGGCGGGGCGGGGTGGGGCGGGGCCGGCGCGCGGGCCGCCCGCCCCGCGGGTGACGGGGAGGGCGGAGAGCCCGAGGATCGCGGTCCGTCCCCAGGCGCTGGCCGGGGACTCCGCCGCGGAAAGTTCCCGCTCCCCAGCCGCAGGGAGCCGCTGGGGAGCGGAGGTTTCCCCGCTGGCGTCAGCACCGGCGGCGCACACACCGGGCGCGCCCTCCCCACGGACCTGGGGTTTCCCACCCTGGGACTGGGTTCCTCCCAGGTACTGGCCCTGCCTGGCGGCGTCGCCCGGGAGCGGCGATCGGCCCGCCCGCGGCCCCGCTCACCCCGCCGAGGACCGCGGCGCGGGATCAGCGGGGGCCCTCGGCGGCGCCAGGCGGTGCCGCGAAGGCCGGGTCTGCGGGGGGGGGGGGGGTGACGCCTGGAATCGGGGCGCAGCCGGGGGCAGCGGGTCCCGCGGGCCGCTGTGTGCGCCCCGCGCGCGCCGTCCCTCCGCACGCACGCACCCGCAGGCGCGCGCCCGAAAGACGAACTCTTGGGGGGCAGACGTGGACAGGAGCGGGTGCAGCCTCGGAAACCAGGACGTTTGCGGGGGAACCCCACCTCCCGCCGGCCCCGCGCCCAACCGGCCACGCCGTACTCGGGAGCTGCGGCGGCTTCGATCCGAGCTCCTCCGCGCGACCCGGCGCCCGAGCCTGGTCCGTGGACGGGAGCCCGCCCCGGAGCCGCCGATCGCCGGCCCGGGCAGGCGCCGTGCACGCGCGAGCCGGTGTCCGGGCGCAGGCGCCCGTGCGCGCATGACACGCTGGGGCTCGCCCGCCGGGCAGCTGCGGGCAACGGTGCCGGCCCCGGCCTCATCCCCAGGAGGCTGTGTGCGCGCCCCTGCGCTCCTGTGTGCATGCGCAAGTATGTGCGTGTATGGGTGCATGTACGCGTATGCGGGTGCACGCACGCGCGTGTGTATGCATGTGTGCCTGCATGTGTGCGCGTGCGCGCTCCCGTGGGGTGCGGGCGCGCGTGGATGCAGATCGCCCTCTCGCGGGGCTGGGCGCGCGGGACGCGGCTCTGCTGAGCCCCGGCAGAGCCCAACCTGGCCTTTCCCGGCCTGCGTTCCGGGGGGCATGCGCGCCCCCCGCGTGCCTCGCAGCCCCGCTCGGGACCCCGCCCCGCTCCGGCCCCGCAGGGGCGCGGGGCCCCGCTGACTCAGCGCTGGGGTCCGCACCGGCGCCTCGCGCGCGGGCTGGGAGCTCGGGTGTGAGTGCACGCGCGCTCGCGGCGCACACATGCAGGCGTGCAGCCGTGTGTGCGCTGTGCGCGGTCGCGGGCGGGCACGGGTGCGTGTCACCACCCTGGGGCGGTCGGTGGGCGCGTGCACAAGTGCCCGCATCCGGAGCGGACCCGGGGCGCCGGCTGCCGGGGGAGGGAGGGGAGCCTCCCGCGCCCGCGCAGGGCGGGGACCGCAGGCCCGGGCGCCCCGCCGCGGCCCCGCGCTGCGGCTCTCCCTTTATGCCGAGGTGGAGGGGACGCCAGCTCTCCGCCATCGCAGGGTGCGCGTGCCCCCGCGCGGCCGCGCCGGCGCACTGCAGCCGGCGGCCTGGGCCGCCCGCGGCTGGGGCTCCGGAGCGGGGGAGGGTGCATGGGGGCCCCGCGGGCGGGCGCGGTTTCTGGGCAGAGGCCTCAAGCCAGCAAGGCGCCCTCGGGGACAGCCAGAGCGGTTGATGGCAGCCTGGGGTCGGCCCTGCTTGGGCAGGCAGCTCGGCCATTGCGCTGCCCGAGGCCCCCACGCAGGACTCTCACGGGACCACCAGGTGACCCTGTAGGCGCACACGGGGCCCGTGCCCCAGGTACACACAGCACAGCACACGTATGCACACGTGTGCAGGTGTGCACGCACACACATGTACATATGCGCACGCAAGAGATACCCGAGCATGCTGCACTCAATGCACATGCAGCACACACATGCACACATACATACCACGAGCACACACACACACATACACATGCACACCACACGCACACACACAGGGTACACATGTATCCGCACACACATGCACATGACATGTGCATGCAAACACACATGCTCACAACACACTACACAAATACACATGCAGCACACGTGTACACACACGCACACACAGCACACATGCACACATAGCATGAGCACATACATATACATGCCACACATATACACGTCCACGTCCACAGAGCATACACACATGCAACATACACTGCACACATGCACATGCAGCACACATGTGCATGAAGATGTGTGCATACAACACACTGCATACATGTGCTAGGAGCACATACACTCATGTACACACGTGTGCACATATGCATGTAACACGTGCACACGCATGCACGCATGCATACAGGCATCCAACACTGCACTCACACATGTAGACATGCACATATATGCACACATATGCACACGCAGACACACCTTTCTCCTACTCTTGGACCTGAGTGTAGTCCTTATCGCCATGCTCTGGATGTGAGCTCGTGAGCGCCGGCTTCTTGTGCTGTCTGCCTTCTCTGGAACTTCCTGGCCTGGTGACTGGGACAGAGACCTGCCAGGGAGCCGCCCTCCCCACCCCACACCCCAGCACAACCTGCTGCAGGCGTAGGCCTGGTTTTAAGCCATTGGGAGGTAAGTTATAAACGTTGGCTTTGATTAACGTCATTTTCCATGGTGGGGTGGGTATGAGTTTCCCTGGGCTCAGCAAGGCTGGACTAGGGGGTGCCCAGGACCCCAAGGTGTGTTACAAACCTTGTTGGGGTGCCTTTCTCTCTCTGTGTCTCTCTCTCTCTGTCTGTTTCTCTCTCTGTCTGTCTGTCTGTCTGTCTCTCTCTCTCTCTCTCTCTCCCCCCTGTGTGTTTTTGGAAAGGGCCAAAAGGAAAGTTGGCGGCCAGTCTTTGGAGGGCTGCATGTTTGCAATGGCTTAAGGTGACCAGAAAGCAATTTGTCTCTAAATCCTCAGCCCACTGCAGTGTGCCCAGACAGAAAAGTGACTGATGAGTTTAAGGATTGGAGGGAAACTTAATTTCTCCCCAGGGACTGCTGCAAGGGGGCTGAGGGCTGAGCCGCCTGGGCTCGGCTAGTTCTGGCTCAGAGGATGACCCCGGGCCCATCTTTCAGGGGTAGCAGGAGGGAGGTTGGCCGGGCCCTAGGGGAGCCTTGGATCCATGTCATGGGGTCGGAGAGTGGTGCATGGAATTCCTGACTGGTGTTGTGGTGTAATTGTCCCGGTAACTCTAGTCACACCACGCTCCAACCCCTCAAAGAACAGCCCGGGGTCCGGCTTTATGACTGGGCCACCAAACACCCAGAGAACAGCCCGTCCTGGTCCAGGAATGGTCCAGGAATGGGCCTCCGAGCACCCGTCTTGAAACAGCGAGTTCAAACTTGCTTCTCCTTTGGTTCAGGCCTCCGGGAGCTTGCCTGGCTTTGCGGTGCCCTGTCTCTTCAGAGACCCGGCAGGGCCAGGGTTTTGTTAAACTCTAAACAGTGAATTAAAAGCCCTCGCTGGGCCGCCGCAACCCCTCTAATAGAAAATGACAAATTGCACTTAAGCAGTACGTGAACAAGAAAACGATTTATGGATTTTTACAATGGCCTGGGCAAATGAAAGCGGCATGAATTATACATCGTAATGCTCGCGATACCATTTTCTAATAATACCGTTTCGCTTCAGATACGGGCCCTCCTCTTTTCTATAAGTGACTTTGATCAATAAGAGGCCCAGGAATGTTTTAAAATGAGGCAAAGGCCCTGGCCGGGCTGGGCACGGACGCTTCCTCACCCAGTGCTTCACGGACTGAGTCTTTTCTCCCTCGCAAGTTCCATGCTGCCACACGCCATTGTAGCAATGCAAATAAAGAGGTTAAAATTGCCCACCCCCCTTTTTTGCCCTTTGTAGCAGAAGATCAAGACCGTCCTTTCGGAAGCAGCAAAATCTGACTCCTCCCCGGGGCTCTTCACCTCGTCTTAGTTGTGTTGGCCTGTCTTTTTCAGGGCATGGTTGTACTCCACAGTGTATTAGAGCTGCACTTGGGTGAACAGAAAGGCTGTGCACCTTCGGTCTTTGGGAGGGCTT